TTGGGCTTTACCCCCTTTTTGTGGGGGGGGGGGGGGGGGTGAGTGGGACACTGTATGGGGGGCTGTGTTATTGTGTTAAAATGTGTGTGAGGTGGAGCGGGAATGTAGGGCAGGCAGATTGCGCCACTTGGGCGTGGGTCACAGCCACAGCCAGCCCCGGAGAGCGCATAGCAAGCCCCCTGAGAGGTCGGCGTGTGCGGGTTTGACTGTTCGATGTTGGCGGCACCTGCCCCCCCTGCCGTAGGCGAGGCCGCTTCAACGCGGTCATGTTCTGGTACAAGCTGCACCTGTTTGGAGACGTCTACCTGTCCACCGGGCCAGAGGCGGTGGAGGCAGGTGCGCAGGGGGTTCCCACTGCCACCAAGCCGTCCACCACCTCTGCCACACGCACATGCCCACATGCCACATCCATGTTCCCCACGCATCCATCTTCCTTCCTTCCTTTCGTCCCATGTGCGCAGGCCTGCGCTGCCTGCAGCCCGCGCTGCAGTACATCGCGGGCGAGCTGCCGGTGGAGGAGGGCCTGGTGCTGCCGGTGATGGCCTCCCACAACACCGTGCGCCTGCGCTTCGATGTCGAGTCGGCGGACTACCTAAACCTGCACAAGCCGGACGCCTCATTCCCGCATGCCCACTTCTCCATGCTGGCGGATGAGGAGCGGTGCCAGGTGGGCGTGCCAGGTGGCGGGGGTGGAGATGCGTGGCTGGGTGGTGCGCATCCATTTCACACCAGCTGGGGGGCATCGTCAGGCATTCGGCCAATTGTACAGAGATTCCAGCAGAGGCCATTTCTAACTCAGTGCCTACTTGTTCCTATGCCACGCAGGCCTACCAGCGTGCCATCCGGCGCGTCGTGAAGCAGCGGCAGCAGCAGGACGGCGAGGCTCACGTGCTGGACATTGGCTGCGGCACCGGCATCCTGTCGCTGCTGGCGGCCAAAGCAGGCCAGTGGGTCCCGCCTGTGTGCGCTGTCAACCGCCCGGCCGCATCCCAAAGGGTGCTGTGCCGAGCCGCACCCATACGGCCAGCGCCACACATCTTCCTCTCTGTTTAAGTGCCCCCGGACAACCGTGCCCGCTGGTCTCCCCCTTGTGGCGGCGGTGTGCAGGCGCCAACAGCGTGGTGGCGTGTGACCTCCACTCCTCCCTCTGCGATGTCGCCCGCAAGGCTGCCTCCGCCAACAAGCTGTCCAGGCGCGTCAGCGTGGTGCACCGGGACTCCGGCCTCCTGCAGCGCGGCAGGGAGGTGCGGCCGCTGGGCGTCAACGTGGTGGTGGCAGACGTGTTTGACGCAGGTGGGTGGGCGGGTGGCATGGCTGCTTGTGCTGGGCTTCGTCGCAGCACGGGATGCTGAACTGAACGGCAGCAGGGACCAGTGGTGAGAAGCCAGGTCACCCCGTTGCCCCACCTTGCCTCTTAACGGCCAGGGCCTGTGTGGGCTCTGGCCAGCCTGCTTGTCTGTGCCCTCCTCTGACCTCCTCCTGCTCTCTTTCTTGCGGTACCTGGCGCAGGCCTGCTGGGCGACAGCTTCGCCTACATGCTGGACCTGGCAAAGCGCAAGGTTGTGCAGCCGGGGGCGGCGGTGGTGCCGTCCGCCGCCACGCTCTACTGCATGGGAATCGAGGCGCTGACGGGGACGGTGGTGGGCTTCAACATGACGCCCATGAACACGTACCGGTGAGGCGAGGTACTACCTGGTAGCCAGCTGGAGCAGCCGAATAGCCTGCCCCCTGCCCTGCCCGGGCCCAGCGCTGCAGGCAGAATGCACATGCGGCCTGCATGCCCTGGCTCCCGCTCACCCCTCCCTGCTGGTATGGTGACGCGTGTGCTGCACCTCTGCTGCCCCCAACTGGGCCGAAGGTGGGATGCCAATTATGAGGCTGTTGACCTGGCAGACGTGCCGCACCGCCGCCTCACCAAGCCGGTGAAGGTGTTTGAGCACTTTTTCGATGGGGAGCGCAAGGGACGGTCCAGGTGGGCTGCCGCTTGACAGCCTCGCCTTGTAAAAAACACGCAGACACACACAGAAAGGTTACGATGGCACACCTCACACACCGATAGCTGCCAACGCTCCTCCCGACTGCTCTGGCCTGCTCGGCGATGCAGGGAGAGCATGCTAAAGCTGGAGGTGGTGGAGGAGGGTGTGCTCAATGCTGTGGTCTTCTGGTTTGACCTGCACCTTGACGACTGCGAGACGCTGACCAGCGGTGAGGCTTGTGCGGGGTGCCGGGCAGCAAACACTTGCCACGGTGCACAAGGGTGAGCCAGCTCGCCTGGCCTCGCTAACAGCTGCCTGCGCCCCGAGGCGACTGCTTGCTGGCCCCTGCCCTGCAGCGCCCGAGGGCATCGGCGAGGGCGGCGTGCTGCTGTCGGAGTGCGGCGAGGGCGGCAACGGCGATAGCTGCAGTACTGATGTGCCACCGGCAGCAGCGGACCCTGGGGCAGCTATGGATGCAGCAGAGAAGCTGGGCGAGGCTCCAGCAGCAGCTGCCAGCCCCACCTCTGTCTGCCAGCAGGAGGAGCTTCCTGGCAGCGCCAGCAGCGGCGGCCAGCCCTCGCCCGTTGCTGAGGCTGCCGCCGCCGCCGATGATACGACCTGCGAGGGGGGTGGCGAGGCAGGAGACGCGGCTGACGACTATGTGCCAGCTGGCAGCTTTGCTGGGGCCAGGGCAGGGTATGTGTTCAGGCTGGGGGAGCTTGGGCTGGGGTACTACCTTGATGGCAAAGGTACTGCTGCACAGGAAGCTGCCGGGCAGGTGGCAGCGGCTGACTCGCGCGCAGACCAGCGGCCGCAAGGTCTGGCCGCGGCAGCACCAGAGAAGCCTAGCCCCGAGGGGGAGCCTGCCGCCGCTGCCACCACCACAGCGCCGGCGCCAGCCCCAGCAGCAGCGCTCGACCTCGCTGCCGCCGCGTCCGCGGCCCGGCCGGCTGTGCAGTTGCCGCCGTCGCGCGGCCCGCGCCACCACTGGGGCCAGGCCCTGCAGTACCTGGAGCGGGCGGTGGGGGTGCAGCCGGGGCGCAAGGTGGCCCTGCTGGCTCACCGCGAGGGCGGCAAGGTGCGGTTTGGCCTGCGCCAGGGCGTGGGCGAGTACGTGGGGCGGCCACCCTGGAAGATTGAGTGGGGCGGCGGATCATCAGTGGAGAACCCTCACTTCCAGCGCGTGCACTACTGCCAGCTGCTGGTGAGATCCTGGCCTCGGCCTCGGAAGGCGGGGCCGCTGCCGGCTGGGTGCTGTGCAAGCCCTGCCTGCCGCCTGGAACCATCATCGGCAATTGACGAGTCCATTGCCACTGGCCGCCCCGCACACCGTCCACCGCATCACACCCCACAGCCCTCCCCTGCTCCTGCTCCCCGCCTCTCTCCCCGCCACAGGTCAGCGACTTCCTGCAGCGCGTGCGCTGCCGCCGCTTCCCTCCCATCGAGAAGGACATGCGCATGGTGCTGGCGCACTGCGGCTCGTTGCTGCTGGACCCGGCGGCGGTGCAGGAGGTGAGGGTGGAGGGCGGGTGGAGGGAAGGAGGCGGGGGGACATGGTGGCGGGGCGCGGTGCGAGCAGTGGTGAAGGCTGCCATTGGATGGCAGCCAGGTGCCAGCAATGAAAGCTTCCTGAGGCTGCCAATTTGGTCGGGCGCCATACAGCAAGTTGTTATCTAGAATTATTCCACTACCATGGTACCGCCTGCCCGCAGGTGTGCCACGAGCTGGTGGTGATGGAGAAGATCCAGATGGAGCCCGAGTTCTCGCCCGCTGCCTCGCTGGAGGCGCTGACCAAGCGCCCGCTGCGCCTGCACTGATACTGGGCCGACCACCACGCCGGCCGCACCCACTGCTGCCGAGCTGCTCGCCCCACTGGCAGCGTGCGGCTTGGAGAGTAGCTGCATTCTGCTATGGTGGATTCAGTTGCTGCTCCAATCAGAAATGCTGTCAACTTCATGTTGCTGTTGTTTGCACTAGCTGTAATGCAGATAAGTGATTATCCCAACACATAAGTAGCGACAAAATCATGTGCCCAGTTGCAACTCCAGACTCAATCCATCGACTGCCGACAACCCCCCTGCCTCACTTTGTCCCCGGCCCAAACTGTGTGAACCACTCCTCCAGCAGCGCCCTCTGGTGGCCCCGCAGCATCACCAAATGGTTGCCCAGCGGCCGCACCAGAAGCTCCTCCACCGCCGGCCGCCCGCCCAGCAGCCTCACTCGCACCTGCACGGGGCACAGCAACATGGAGGCCCTGACGGCACTGCACTCCAGTCGGTGCAGCAGCGAGCCCGCGTTGCGCTGATCCCGCTCGATATCGGCTCCAACCAGCAGCGCACACCCACCTGAGTCCTGCACAGCTGCGGGCTCCACTCCGTGCCCGTGCCCTGGGCCTGGCGATCATCCAGCACATACCCCTCCTCCACCCACAGCCTGTCCAGGGCCCGCCCCCCCACGCGCAGAAGCGTGACGGCGCCGGGGGGCACCGCGCCCTTGAACGCCACGCCCCGATCCGACTCGAAATGGGTGGTGGTCCGCATGAGGAGTGGGCGGCAGGGAGCGTGGTGGGGACGCTGGGAGGGGGAGCGGCCTGGATCAAGCGCTTGCGGCGCAAGGCCGCAAGGGCCAGCTGGTGGCCAGAACGCAGGTGGTGCCAAAATGCATGGAACACTTGAGGTCGAAGGGCTCTTACCTCATAAGACTTGACCAGGCTGCGTGCGATGGTGCACTGCAGCACAGAGTGCAGCAATCAAGGACAGACCTCAAAATTCACCCCAGAAGATCAAGCACGACACACACAGCAGGACACGTCAGTGACGCCAGGGGGCTCAGCTCACGTGTGCTAGCTTGACGATTCCGCCAGCGGGATCCACCTGCGCAAGCAATGGGGCGTATTCAACATCTGCCGGCCAAAGCACTACAGGTAGTATGCAAGTGCCATGCCAGAAGCCAGGGGGACAGTTAGGCAGCTCTGCTACAACTTGAAGCACCTCCAGTCCTGCCCACCTGCGCCACGTTTGCCATCCAGGGCACCTGGCCGGTCATCAGCTTGCCCCAAAGCATGCCCAGCGCGCTGCACACATCCCCCTCACACCCCGCAATCACCCCCTCGTCCAGCAGCCGTGCCAGCGAGTAGCAGCCTGCGGTCAGAGCGGGGCCGGCGGGAAGCATGTTCGCAGCAGCACTGCTGCAGCTGTGGCAAAGGTGAGCCATAACTTCCTGCTGCTCCTCAGCACGCGCCGAGACCCTCCAGCCCACGCAAGGCGCAAAGCCCATGCCTCTTCACCACCGTCCCCATGCCCCCCCACACACCCGTGGTCTCCTTGGCGCTGACGACATCGAAGCAGCGCACGGTGCAGCAGGCGAGGGCGTGTGCGTCCACCAGCTGCCGCAGGGCCAGGTAGACCTTGGCGGCGGGCTCCGCATCCACCGTGGCGGGCACACCGCACGAGGGGCACCCCCCAGCCTTGCCGGCCTCGCCAACCTCAGCATGCCCGCGGACAAGACCGCCACCCTGCAGCATGTCTTGCACCACCTGGAGCAGGGAGGCGGGCGGGCACGGGGGCGAGGCAGGGGAGGCGTGCTTCTGTTTGTGCGCTCCAAACGTTGATCCATCGTATGTGCTTTCAAGTCGACAAGTCCAGGCAGCAGCGGTACCTCCACTCGCCCCCAGGCCCACTCCGTGCGCACACCAGCGCACCCACCCACCCACCTGGTCGACCTCGCCCTTCTCCCAGTGCCCGCCGTCCCACAGCTTGCTGAGCAGCTCCTGCATGTCGATGTCAACCAGGGAGGGGCCCCAGGAGGAGGCCACAGCGCCGGCGCTGGGCGTGCTGGCCACCAGCCACTCGGAGGGCGCGCCCACCAGGCCGATGCGGGAGCGGTGCAGCTGGTGCCACACGCGCACGCCCTGCGGGGTGGGGGCAGCGGCCGGGGCAGACCCTTGGGTTAACCGGTGGCGCGCGCGTCTGCTGCCGTGCCGTGCCATGCGCAGGCTTCAGCCTGAATGCGTGTCTTGCCGGCCACCCACCTGCAGCGCCCTCTGAAGCGTGGCCCACCCTTCGTCCTGCTGCGCACCCGAGCCCAGGTACACTACTCGGCCGTGCAGCCCTGCGGGGAGGCAGTAGGGTGGGCAGCAGGAGGACAGCTGGCGGGGGGGTGTGGAGTGGGGGATCGGGGGAGTAGGCGTGCCTGCTGCCCAGGCGTGCCTGCTGGCCCGCCCCCACC